TTTGGGAATTTTTAAATTTTTAGTTAATTGTATAGTAAGAGAGAGTTTTTCAGCGAATGCCTGTGAACCCTTAAAATATTATTGTGTATTTAATACAATTAATATTTAATTGGGATAAAAAGAAAATAATTTTCGAGTTTAGATAAGGATATAAGAATGGTAGTCTTTTATACATAATTTTAAAATTAAGAGATTTTTATAATATATTTTGTCCTGTGATCAGTCATATTTGAGTAAATTTCTTTAAATATGAAATACTTAAAACTGTTACTTTTATGATAAAATTTATTAAATGAATAAAAAATTTCTAGAAAAGCTCTGAAATAATCTAAATGTATTGTAACTCAATAATCAAACTGGGAATACATTGTTTTAATAGTTCTAAGAATGCAGTTTTGAAGTGGAACGAAATGTTTTAGAAGAAATATCCTAAAAGTGTATTTTTTATCTAGAAAAGTCTGAATTTTCCATAGAAATTGTAATGTTTGCCAATACATTTTTAAATATAAATAAACTAATTTAATAATTAATTAAAAATTAACTCAGTAAAAAAGCATTTACTGATAATATTATTTCTAATCTTTCATTACAAAGATAAATATAGTTAAAGGAAAACTAATGTAAACAATTTTTTTCCTTTTTGAACACTTTTTTTAAAAAACAACAGTTCTTTATTGAAAAATGTCATTTACTATTACATTTTATTTTTAAGTTACGGCCTGGTGTAATTACGTGTTCTCACTAGAACTCAAAACAATGGCTTAATTTTATCATTGCAGAATCTAATTTAAAAATCAATTAGAGTCTGTGTTGACTGTAACAAAGAATCTTGCATCAAAAGCCAAAGAATCTAGATTTTTTATACATCACTCAAATGTAAGACATGAAAATTATCCTAGAAAGCATGACTCTTTACCTCATTTCTACGTTTATTATAAAGATGTTAAATAGATTATTTATAGGTAATGCTGTAAATAATCTATTTAACTAATTAAGCAACACCTTTACATTAGAATAGAAGAAAAAAAAAGAGTTCGGTTAGATTACATATTTAATTAAATTCCTTAAAGAAATTTTCTTGTATCAATTCAAATGAAACAAAATTTAAGATTCCATTATCGAAATATTTTGCACCATGCAGTCATTTCACGAACTGCAGAATATAATCCAAATAATCACTTCCGCGGTTCGTCCGTAAGTAGCACATGACTTGAAAATTGCCTTAATAAATATCGGGAAAGAAGATCAACGTTAATTTCCGCAATCTAATCTGTGTTTGCAATGAATTCTGACTTCAGATGCCAGCGTAATTTCTGTAATTAAAGAATTCCAGTACGATTCTGAGTATAATGTCCCAGCAAAAGATTAAGTACGCACCTTAATTTAAGAGAGGTGTTAATAATGCACAATGTCGCAGAACTGAAATTACGAGAGACTTGAATAAGCATGAATTTCAAGTGGATTAATTTAATTGTTATTGACTATTTATTCTAATTACTTTCAGACTTTTACACTACAAGGACACTTTAATAATTTTGCAGAACATTATTCTTTTAATTAAATAATTACAACCAAATTATATCAGATATTTTTTTTCCTCTTATTGAACATTGATGTTGGCTTTGTTTTCTAATTATGTATGCCACAAACAACTCATTAATGAGAAGCATTGTTTTGTAGGAGAATAATTAAAACTAAATGATATTGGACATTGTTTTACTTGTTGCGCATTGGTAATAATTGTGTTCTATTTATGTGTGCCACAAATAACTCTCATCAAGCAATGGGAAGAGGACATTGATTTATAGGAGAACAATTAAAACCAAATGATATTAGATATTGTTTTCCTTGTTGACATTGGCGGTACTTGTGTTCTACTTATGCATGCCACAAACAGTTCCCCAAACAGTTCCCCAAATAGGCAATGAGAAGATGATATTGGCTTTGTAGGAGAATAATTAAAACCAAATGATATCGGACATTAATATACTTGAACATTAGTGGTGCTTGTGTTCTACTTATGTATGCCACAAATAACTCATCAACAAGTAGATTATAGTAAGGGCATTGCTTTTACATTGCTTTAGAGCAGGGGTCTCCAAACTTTCCAGCCTTAGGGCCATACTGTTTACTCAAGTAAGTACCAAGGGCCAAAACCGTTTTTAATTTTTCTGCCAATATCTATAATTTCTGAACTAATCGCCTAGTACGCACTCTGAGCGAGCATACGCTTGCTAAGTTCGCTGGTTCAATTACTACAATTACTATTGTGTGTATCGATACCACCGTGACACTTGACGACATCTAGTGGTTAAACGCGGAAATAGGTAGGTATAACTACTGAGGGTAACCGTGGAATGTTCACTAGTTTATAATGTTAGTGGGATTCATTTCAATTATTTGTTAATTGTTATGCTTAAGTTAAATTTTCTGCGTATTATGCTTGTCATTAAGCTTTACTTAGCAAGTCAATAAAATCGAGTTATTATCATTCTGTTTTTTTATCCAACTTATTACAGCAACAATAAGTTATTCGCTGTCGCGGGCCGGATTGATGACACTGGCTGGCCGGATTTGGCCCGCGGGCCATAGTTTGGAGAACTCTGCTTTAGAGGAGAATACCTAAAATCAATTGATATTGTTTTCCTTGTAGAACATCGGTAATACTCGTGTTCTACTTATGTAGGCCACAAATAACTCAGCAACAGGCAATGAGAAGAGGAATAATATAATTAATAATAAATTATTATTAATTATAAAAAGTTATTTAATTTATTTTTAAACATTATGATGATAATATCACTGAAAAATTCATGCTTTCAAACTTTACAAACATCAAACTCTAAATCAGGAACAGGTTAAGGGGTATAAATTTAATCACATATATTAATTTAATCATTGTTTTAAGGAAAACTTTTGAAAGTAATATACAATTGCCCAGAAAATGGAACATCCATAATAACTTTCATAATTATCAACTTGTAGTTCAAATACTACCAAGAAGCATGGTCAAATTCAGAGATATAAATTAATTTCTTAAACATAAACTGCTCCTCAGACAGCTCTACAGACAACTCCTGAAACCATAATCCGTTTATATTTTGTAAGACAAACAATTCAAAATGAACCACAGACCAATATTTATTTAGCAATATAATTTTATTATATTTAGCATCACATATTTCATAACAGTTTTAATATATGCGCAAATAAACTCACGTCTTTAAATTAGATCCCGGTTTGTTTAGCCTAAAGTGTGCACAAGATGATCGTACAGAGACAAGCCAACCAAACCAAATAAAATCACGTGAAAATCAGTGTTTATTCAATTCTTTCTAATAGCTCACACTCTTCCTGTATATATATATATTGTTCAAATTTTCAATTGTTCATAAAATACTTTTTATTCATCCACTCAAGTTCAAATACAGTTTTTTTGAATTTGTAGTGGATGACACTGGATGTTAATACAGATTTTTCAAATATTAATTCAGTAATTAAATTTAATTAATTAATTATAGTTTTTTTAGATTTAAGTTGCATATATCTGACAATAGACGGCGCCAGATAAACTTAAAAAAAATGAATGAAAATTATTTATAAAGGACTTTCTGCAATATAGTGAAAAAAAAAGTAGAAATTGACTTTAAAAATTTTTTTATGTTACTTTTTTAAATAAAATTTTTGAAACGAAAGTTTCTCATGTTGAACAAAAAAATCAATCTGCTTTAAATAATAACATATACTCTATTTATTTTTATTTTATGGCTTCACTTTTTTGGAGACGCCATTTACCTATAACCAGAACAACATTAGTATCACACATCATAATAAAATAACTAATTATGATAAATCCACAGAATTTTCATATTTTTAATTATATTTATACAATTAAATTGGAATTTTTAATGTTAACTCCATATTTCCAATTTATTAATATAATTTTTTTTTAAATTAAAATCATTATTTCCAATTTATTATATATTTGAATAATATTACATAGGTTTTTATAATAATTATTCTTCCCTCATCTAAATCCCAACTTACAAAAAAAATTATAATATTAAAAAGCTCTAACTCTGAGGCTTACCTTTTAAAATTTAAACATTTTCCTCCTAACTAAAAATATACCTTTGCTTTAGTCGTTCAATTCCCAACGGTCTGTCTATTCATTAACGGAATGGATTTCCAATTCAATTTAAAAATCAAAGCATTGATTTTTCGAAGATTAGGTTTAAACTAATTAAAAGGAAGATCATTTCAGAGGTTAAAAACCGCATTCCTTCATTATTTAGTAAGAAAAAAAAAATAATAAATTCAGATTTTTTTTTCAAGAAATCCAAAGTTTTTTTTTAAAGGTTTAATGGATGAGGAATAAATTTATTGCAACCGTTTCCATTTTCTTTAATTCGAATCTTAAATTATCCAGATTGGAATTAATTAACAATGAATCAAGTATTGAACAAATGGTAAAAAGTGAATTTAAAATCCGTGAAAATTATTCAGAGAAGAACAAATTAGATTAAATTTACTCACTTGATAGTTGATTCCATTAATTGCATTGGGTACACTTAAGAATTATAACTTGAACTGCAGGTTGACATTTTGTTTTTTCCACCCCAATATGTTTCCAACAAGAAAATTGATTAATTCAAATGTGGAAGTTTCAGGTTAAAACATATACTCTATTTTAAAATTCTTATATTTTTACCTCATGTTTTAGTAAATTATGTAAATGAAGTAATGTTAAAGTTATTTCCTTTCTATTGAAAATAAAGGGAGCAAATTTGTTTCATGTATTTTGCAATCAGAATAAAGCTTTCTGTTTTAAATAAAAAGAAATTCTGTTAAAAAAAATTGTAATTCGGTTTTCCCTTATCCAAAGATTTTTCTTTTTGTAAAAGTAATATATGACTTAACTGATTTTACCTATGTTATTCGTCACTCAAAGGGTAAATATGTAACAGATTAAGTATTATCCATAGTATAACATAAAGGCCAACGGCCATACCATGCTGAATATACCGGTTCTCGTTAGATCACCGAAGTCAAGCATCATTGGGCGCGGTCAGTACTTGGGTGGGTGACCACCGCGTGCCGTTGGCATTCACAAATTTGGGACCTGAATGGCCGAGTGTCTAGCGCTCTGGCACTCGGTGCCACAGGTTTCGGGTTCGACGGTGCCATGGATGTTTGTAGTGGTTCGGAATCCACTTTAAGCCGTAGGTCCCGGGCTCCTATGACTGTAAGAGCGTCACGGAGCCAAAGTCAGACTTCTACCTACGGGTGCTCCCATCACAACAGAAGCTGCTTCCTTCCCCTTCAATCATGAGTACGTGTGGGCTTGGCCAGCCAAGTGGGATAAGAAACAACAACATAACATAAAGAATTTTCTATTCACCCATATTTTTCGCGCACAGTCAAAGCGATAATCCAGAATGGCAACCAGAAAATTATCACCTTCTTCTTCAAAGGAAGGATGGGAGTTTTATCATGGCCGACTTTGGTATAAATATAGATTGGTTTGTCGCTCTATTGTCATTTTGTGCATACTTTAGGATCATTAGACCGGGCTCTACAGTTTAACGGTGATTCCGATTCGCTAACCAACATTCGAACCTGGGGCCTGTAGAACCAAAGGCCAGAGCGCTAGCCAATTGGTTATCATGCCGCCATAAATATAGAAGCTTTTAGTTCAGGCATGTTTTTTTTTATGTTTAGAGCGAAAAGTCTTTAATTCGAAAGCCCAAAGCTATATGCACCAATAGCCCCTATCTGAAAGTTGTAATATAAAATTGAGATTTTGAAAAATCAAAAACATGCTGTAGAATCTTTGAGTTCAGGCATGTTTTTTTTTTTATATTTACAACGAAAAGTCCTTAATTAAAAAGTTCAAAACAGTATGCAACAAACAGTCCTTATCTAAAAGCAGTAATATAAAATAACAATTATGAAAAATCTAAAACATGTACAAATTTTGGAATAGCATTATTTTCTTTTATATATAATGCACATTTCAAAGGAACTGCACATCAATTTGTATTAGCATATGTCATATGAATCCCATCAAAGTGCGTATACTTAAACACGATAATTACATCCTCCCTTCAACAGAATAATTATATCCTTCCTTCAGCAGAATAATTATATCCTTTCTTAAATAGAATAATTATATCCTTAGATTTACTGAAATATTTAAATCTTTCATAATTACAGAAATAATTAAATCATAATGAAGATAAATATTTTTATTTACATAATTATTATTAAATCGAAATTTTTTCATATAATCATATTAAAAATGATAAGAAATTTTTTATTGTCAGTTAAAGATTAATACACATCTTGAAAGGTAAACACCTAGCTAGTTTTGATGCATGCATTTTGCCTGAAAAGAATTTCTATAGAATATCTACATTAAGACTTAAAACAATCACTGAATTTAAACATATTATGTTAGACATCGCATTTGTGAGAATACACACACACACACACACATTTTTTAGGGATTAATTTCATCTTATTTTATGATATTTTTCTTAAATTTAAATTAATAATTAAAATAAATATGATGTATATTTTATAAAAATGATTTTATTTGATTTAAATATTTTTTGTTCGAATGTGTGTATATGCATAGACTCATACTCACAGATCACCTGAAAGAACAATCGTTTCAGAGTCGGACTCCGCCTCTCTCTCATCAGACGGTTCTGATGACTGTGTTGAATACGATGTAAAAGACATGGTCTTGGACTGATGGAATTTATCCAAGTTAACTTTTATGTGAAATTTTTAACCTTTGCATGCGTCTCTTATTACTTATTTATCAATTTTATCCTGTTCAGGTGACAACTGTTTTATTGCTATGTTCATGATTTTTCATCATTTTTTTACCTCGATCTTGAAATTGACTTTTTAGTATTTTAACCATTTCTATATTGTCTTGTGTTTACTTTTTTATACCTATGACAATTATTTTACTCTTAATATCATACGACTTTTACAAAAACGCACCTTTGTTTGGCGCAGCATAGCCAAATCTGGCTCTTGTGCCATAAAACCCCAACCAACCAACATACTCACAGAGTAAATTAATTTTGCCACTTTATACTGAGTAATACATTACGGGAATATCTTCGGCATTTCTTTCACATTATTGAAAACTAGGCCAACAGAAAAAGAGTGAATTCTACCAGGCAGCACGTTTTTAATGCGATACACTTACACACGATGTAATATTCGCCATCGTGTCTGGAAATAATTGCGAAAATCAGTCAATGGATTTGAATCTGTGTTTTTCTTCAAGTTAACTGCTTGGATTACTACAGGATCATGATATGGGCATAAAAAACTTTCATAAAATCTAACTGTTATTGCGACACACTTTGGAAATCATCATCGAGCTTATGTGTTTTTATTAATCAATCGCAACCTACTATACTAACAGGAATCGAGCATTCTAACATGCATGGAATCCTTGTATGCCAACTAGAAGGCAATATTTGGACAGCAATTGCGGTGCATTAAATAAACTAGCTCATTAAAATTACACTCTATTCCATTAATGTGGAATTTACACAGTCATGTCAAATTGCCATAGTCAAAATCTCTAACTAAACTGGATGCATAGTTTAAATCTTTCCGAATCACAATGTAGTTATCTCTAATCAACTTAATAAATATTAGCGCAATATTCGCATGAATATGTATGCAGGCAATTTCATTATAATAGCAATGCTAGTTTCAATTCTCACTAGCGCTCAATATACATATAATACATTGCAGAAAATCTGGGGTATTCCAACAATTTAAATGCTTTAAATTGTATAAAACAATGTAGGTCTGCATAGTATATATAAATTATTACATTAATTACTTTACAATTTTTAACTCTAATGATAATTTTAAAAGCAAATATTTACAATAAACTGTGCTTATTTTACATAACAGGCATCGAACACCAGGTATGTAATTGTGTTACTATGATAGGAATTTCAAAAGGCTAATGATATTTAAATGATTTGAAGTTAGCGTCATTTTTATTTAGTGGGGCAAACATGTCAAATTTCGATCCAAATCAAGAGCATTTGCGACTCGTATGTTCGACCTTGTTTAATTAAGATAAAGATGCGAATGTATTATGTAAATTTACAATGACAATTTTCTAATACAAGGCGTTTGTTTACTTTGTTTTAAACGATTTAAAAGTGGTGATTATGACTTGAAAGACAAAGAAAACCTAGGCCAACAGAAAATCAGTGAAATGACCGCGAGCTTCTGGAACTAGATGAAACTGTTTATACCGTTGGCTGCTGTCAACAAATGATCAATTTGAACCATGCATTAATTGAAAAGCAACCAGGACGGGTTCGTTGGGGTTTTCATGTCAAGGAAAAATTAATTTTGCAAGAAGATATTGCTCAATCATACACATCAAAAGCGGTCAAAGATATTTTTTGTCTTGCCCTAATTATTATATTCAACAGACTTTGCCTCTTTTCTTAGTTATTGGTATTTATACAATAACACACCTTCAGGGGATAACTGGCCATTGTGGCATTTTTGGGAAAGATCTGGCCGATTGTCTAGCAAAAAAGAGGCTCAAGACTATTTCAAATGAGATCTTCATCACTATCACTCCATTCTATAAAATTATACATCAAACAAATAATGACTAAAAGCCACAAATTACAAATTCAAAATGAGATTAAGTCAAAGCGTTGGAGAACTGAAGATCTTTTAGCAATACCCAACAATCCGCGACGACTTGCGCCCAGTTCCGTCTTTTGACAGGCGATGACTGCCTAACAGAACATCTCTTAAAATCTTTTCGAACCGTGGCTTTCTCCTATATGATTCAGCAGATTCAATGGACAGACCCCACCTCCAACGATGTGCGGTACTTGACGGCGACAGCGCTTTACTGGCGTGTGAGAGAACTCTTAAGGCAATGACTTCGGTCATCTTTGTATTTTCTGGATGTTTATTCTTTTGTATTTTTTGCCTTATTATTATTATTATTATTTTACTTCTACTTGCCTTGTCATTGGAAATAAAAAAAAAAATACAACAACACATATGATATCCTATGGCGATACCTATTCCGCTTAAAGTAATAATCTATGTACGTAATAAGTAATTTCAATTCCTCTTTCATCAAAATTAGCTCAGATTCCCTCAGCTGCTTTGTGATCAGTAAACAAAAAATTCACTTTAGAAATACGATTACACAGCTCTAAGATATTAAAGTAAGTGAATACATTATGAGCATCTTCTTTCGGTTACTTCGTCCAACACGTTGTTACGGCTCTCAGACACAGCTCATTATGAAATCATTTTTAGAGAATGAATAATTTTTGGGAAAAGTCATTAAAATATCATCTACATCTTCTGAGATTTTCAGGAGAGGATTTCATTTTGCACAGAAAATAACGCCTTATGTTTCCTACCCATCTCGATTTTGTTCAATGATATGCTTTCTGAAATATCTGTTTCATAATCTCAGTGTGCAATTATAATCAACTTGAAAATGTGTGCAGCTAGCATCGATAATGCATGCAACCAGCATCAACTTGGAATTCACTGGTAGCGTCTATTGCTTTTAAAAACGATAAGACTCGATGGCGTGTGTAAGGTATCTCACATGGATAGTCAGGTAGGAATTATCGGGATCTTGCACCCTACAATAAGCAAAAGAGAGACAGTTATCCCTAAAAATCCTTCAGGAAAGTGATGCCTTTCTTTATTCCTTTTTTGTGCTATTCTGGGTATTCATAAATGAAATAAGAAGCCTATCAGTAAAAATTAGGACCGGATATGCATATGGTCTTGATTCAGTGTTGTTCGTGGATACAAACTAAATTATTTCTCAAACTAATTATGGGATGTTCAGTTGCCATATTTATTAAAATTGGAAAGACAGCACGCACAACTGAAAAGCATAACACAGAAAACAAAATTATTTAACAAATGTTAAACAAAATCATCTTAAAAACAAGTTCGTTTAAAAATCTTTGTACTCTCCATACTGTCTGGAACCTTCACTCCACTCTGCACACTCCCTTTTCTTTTTCTTCCTCTGCCGTTATC